AGCAAGCACGAAAACTTAACTCTTGAAGACCTATAGAGGTGACAGGTGGCGTGACGTGCAGAGCTGGGTGGGGAGAAACGTACAAGGCGACGAACACCAACGACAGTAGCAGCAGGCGGCACGATGTACAGAGTTGGCAGGTGGCGTGACAAGCAGAGCTGGGTGGGGAGAAACGTACACAGGCGATGACGTTCGTAGAAGAGGACGAGAGAACGGGGAGCTCTGCTATGGGTGAAGTGATGAAATGGAGTGTCGCGACAGGCGTAAAACAGAAGATACTATGTCGGTTGCCCTAACACCCGTCATCAAATACACTTTTTATGTCGGGTAATAGGTAACCGACATAGAAAGTTAACCGACATAAAAAACTTTCTATGTCGGTTAAAATTTACCCGACATAGAAAGTGAACTTTCCACTTACCATGTCGGTTACCTATTACCCGACATAAAAAGTTTATGATTTTATTACAAAATTGTCACCGCGCTACATACTATGACGGGTGGACTACGACCATGATAAAAATTCGTCATAGAATGCTATTTTTCCACTAGTGGTAGTACCACCAAAATGGTAAAATAGACACTTGTGGCGTACAAGATACAACGCACATGTATGTATGAACTAACTTTTGAGCATAAAAACATTATAGTAATCATAAGTTGTTGTGTTGATGAATTTGGTGTTAAGGTACATGCGAATTGATTAAGGAGCAGTATGACCTAATAAGTAGAAAGAAAGCTAAGCTCGTGAAGCAATGAATTAAATATGAACGCATCTATTATTGTATTTGAAGGACCTTGAGAAGTGTTTGTAAGGATTTTGAAAATGAGTTTGTCCACAATATCAAAGATTGCATGGGGACATTATTGTGTTGCATGATTCTCACGATACGAAAGAGAAATACCAGCAATCATGTTTGCATGAGTACCCACTTTGGTAGCACCGACGCTATAAACAAGCTCAAAAAATGTACTTGGCGTATTGCCACTATATGCTGTTTCATGCAAGCACAATCTACGTTCAGAAGGTACCCTCCCATTTCGTGCTTTTGTCTTTTATCTTTATTTTGATAAAATATATTTTTTCATATCTACAATTACTTGATTGTGATAAAAAAATCTTCGTAAAATTAAAGGAGTATAGTGAAAAACCATTAAAATAATATCAATTATATTATAATATATAGAGATTACAATCCTCGTTCTAAATTAATTGTACAAAATTAAATTAAATTAAATATTTTATTATTTCTAATATATATATATATATATATATATATATATATATATATATATATATATATATGTGTGCGCGCGCGATGTGTTATTCTTAACACTTCTGTGATGAAGCAGTTATTATTAACAAACATTGAATAGGGTGTCAATGATTTTCTAGTGATACTAAAAATATAAAATATAATATTATTGAAAAATTATTTTTATTAAAATCAAATTTTTATGTTAAAAATTTCTTTGCAATCAATAAGATTTATCGAGAGTAACCATTTAAAAATAAGATAAATTTCATTATAATTTATTATATCTTCAAATTAATTTAATAAATAAGACTATAAAAAATAATATTTATATAATTAATTTAAGAGAGATAACTACCAAAACCTAAATGAGAACACTTCTTAAAGAGAGGCACTCACCTCAACTCAAACTCTTTCAACTTTTCTGATTTAAGTTTCAGAATTCCAATCACATGTAAACCTATATTCAACTTTTGTTTATTTTTCATTGTGTTAAATAAGTTTATTTTTTATTGTTATATAAAATTTGAAAAATTATATATACCTATTAAAAGTTCGGTAAAAAAAAAGTTCTATTTAATACAGAAACACACATCAATTTGGATTAATCATTTTTTGTTTATTATAGTGTTTCGGTTTGGCACAATTTTGGTTGTAAGAATTTTTGTGGGCTATTAAATCATTTTATTTTTAAAATTAAGTGCATTTGTTTCTTGTATTATTATTTTTTAGGAAATGTTTTTTATAACCCATTTTTATAAATATCTTACTGACAATCTTAAAATATTTTTTTTATTGATGGAGAGAAAATAAAATAAAATAGATAAATAATAATATAAAAATCTAAAAGTGAGATGTTGAATATATGTTTTTGTTTTTTTTTGTGTTAAAATATAAACACTCTATTTTTTATACTATAACAAAGTTTGATCAAGTCATTAATTCAAATTCAAACTGAACCTGATTAATTAGAATTAAAAAAACATTTGATAAAAGATAAATTGAACTCGATTTTTAAGATAATATATTAATCATATTATTTGCTTAGTTAAACTACGTAATAAATGCGAATATGTTATTGAGATAAGAGTAATGCAATGCAAGACTTGTTAAAGAAAGAAAAAGAAAGTAAAAGTTATAGACTCAGCCCATCCCTCCAACTTGGACCAACCCTAACCTTGATTTTGATGTGATGGGTTTGGATTTTGCAAAATAGACTTGTAGGTCATCCCAACTGGAATCCAGTGAAACAATTGAATTGAACCTAACATTTTTAAGGTCATTGAGAATGTCAAACAATATTTCTTATCATGATTAAGAAACTATGAACATGTAGTTAAGCCGAAATGGTTGATAGATTAGATGATGGTCACACTTGTGAAGTGATTCTCATAGAAACATTCCTTAAGAATAGGGCCAAGGAGAAAAATATAGGGTTAGGGGAAGAAGTTTGGTCATTAGTACGATTTAAACAAGAACCAAATCCATAAAGGGCATAAACAATAGCTTCATAATAATACTAGGATAGGTTACTATCACTGAATGAATTAATTTTATTACTATATGTTTGGTTCTTTTAATTTTTTTTTTTATCAAAAATCACATTTTGAATATAGTATGAATCACTGTTTTTTCTATTGTGGTTGGCATTATTTCATTTGTTTTGGTGGAACGATAGGTGTTTTTTTTTTTTTCCTATAGTAATGTATGTTGGGTTGGGTCATAAATTAGAAGGTTTAAGTACTAAGCAAACACCTTCACTTAGGGCCTTAGGGGTCCAGTCGAGTCTGAGAGTCTTATCAGAAGCACGTTAGAAGGAATCAGAATCTTCGACTTATTTTTTTTAATATAAAATTCCAAATATTTTGTGGAGAAAATTGAGGGAAGATAAATAAATGGTAAGTAAAATATGAAAGAAAAAAAGAAGAAAAGAAATATATTTTATTAGTTGTTTTTTCTGACCCAAGCATGTTCCATGTAATAATTGTTAAGCCTTTTCCAAAGCCCACTATAGTTGGGCCCTATGTTTTATTGTAACATTTGGGCCCTTTCCAACTAATTGATAGACCGTTAACGGTGAAGTGTTTGAATTGAAACAAAAAAAAAATCCATTTTTTTTAATTCAATAATAAAATACTGAAAGTAAAAAGTCAGAGGAAGGATGAATAGACAGAAAGAAAGTTGCAGTAAAAAATCTTTGTGAAAATGAAGGGGGAGATGAGAAAGAAAGTGGAAGAATGATTCGAAAACATTCTCTGGAAAGTGGAATGATAATTAATAAGCAAACAGGTATCCTGGTTGGACGCGACAGCGAAAGTCGAATAAGAAAAAAAAATGAAAATTGGATTCGTATCCACAAAAAGGGAGACATGAGCGTATTATTGAGTATGGCTTTGATGACATGACATGTTTCAAAATGAATCCAGTACTCAGATCCAATCATATTAAGACACCAGCGTATTTATATTTTAAAATATAAACACAATAAATTTATAAATTTACTTATTTAATTTATAAATATATATTTAGAGAGAGGAAATTCTTTTTATAAACCGCAATTTTGATATTATCCAAATTATAAATATATTTGTTATTACTAAATAACTAGAATAACATAATATTGTAAAACCAAACAAATAATATCTTATATTTTTTAATATATATTAGTAATTTAAAAAAAAATTGATTAATCCTTACCTTTTACATAATAAGCAATGTTCCTACCGCAAGAAATAAGAAATATTAGGTAAAGCTTATATTCTTTAGTTTTTATTTATATATATATATATATATATATATATATAATATGTTTTAAGGAAACCTTTTTCATAAAAGTTTATTTTAGTTTAGGTATAAATTAGAAAAATCATCATAAAATAATTGGTTTTTTATTTTTATTTTTATGAGTGTTTACGGTTATAGTAGAAACTTGGTAAGAAATACACGTACACGTCAGGTCTCTATCCGGAGCAACTTTTCCATGTTTGGTAAATGATTACGCCACGTCACGACACGATCCACATCTAAGTGCGTAACCAATGGCAGATACGACATTAAGCTTATCCCATACACTTAGTTATAATATCATATAATTTACGTTACGTGTGTATGTTTTCTAAGACGTGTCGTTAACATGACTTTCCAACCATTTTTCTCCATTTTCTCCTTTTTCTGAGGAGTCCATGTCGATCACGAGGTTAATATGAAAATTTGGTGCACATGGTTTATTATTTAGATAAGACTCTGCTAATTTAGAATAAAAAACACACAGAAAATGACAACTTAGGAAAGAGTAGGATCCACTGCCCATTCTTGAATGTCGTGTGTGTGCCTAACTCTGCTGTCATAGTACACGTCACGGGTCGCACTTCTACCTTTTTAAATGTTCCAAGATTTGTTGCAACTTACGACATTGTTTTGCTGACATTACCGCAACCAAAGAACGAACTTGACAACTTGGTACATTTTTTGTTTTCTGTTCGATTTCTCGTTGTTTAAACACCTTCATATTGGTTTGGCGTTGATTGTGACACAACTTAAATACAGACACAGCCATCTTGTCAGAAATCCCTTCTCTTATTGTTGTTTGTTCCTCACCTTTTCTCTTCTCTAACTCAGTTTCAGTCATAATCCCTTGCGGAAGAGCGTTCTACTACTGATATCGCGGGTAAGCTTTATTTATTTGTTTACGAATAATATAAGGAAATTGATTGGTGCATGTGTTGCTTTTGAGTTATATTGTGGATGGATGAAGAGTTGGGAGAATTGGGTGTGTTGAAACAGGTAGAAGGGATCATGCTTGGGAACGGGGTTGTTGGGATCTTGGCAGAATCTGTGAATAAATGGGAAAGAAGGGCACCTTTGACACCATCACACTGTGCTCGATTACTTCATGGTGGAACAGGTGTTTCTAGAATCATTGTGCAGCCTTCCACTAAGAGAATTCACCATGATGCTCTGTATGAAGAAGTTGGCGCTGAAATATCACAAGACTTGTCACAATGTGGTCTCATTCTTGGCATTAAGCAACCGAAGGTTCTTATTCCTTTGTTTTTTCTTGGTTTTTTAAATTATTATTTTCCTGCCAGCGTGTGTTTAGTTGATCAGAGTTTTTTTAATGATATACATGACTTTGATGCAGCTGGAAATGATATTGCCTGATAGAGCTTATGCCTTCTTCTCCCATACCCATAAAGCACAGAAAGAGAACATGCCTTTGCTGGATAAGGTGTTAATCTTAAGTTAATCTATTCACTTCGTCTTTATAGTTGTCTTCATTTTAGGTTTTAGCCTCCTACGCGAGAAAACTGTACGGTCTAGTCTTATACATGCATAAGAAAACAATTCTGGTAGTGTAAAGCTGCTACAAAAACTTTCTGGCAATGGAATCTGTTAAAAAAACATTATATGGACTAGAACTTACTGGGTTCTTGTATAAGGTCTAAAACTTAAAATGGGGACAACCATAGGAACCAAGAGAATAACTCAACCTATTCAATTTTTCATTTTGAAATATGACTTCAATTTTGTGGTGGTTACTTGCCAGTTCTAACTTGTTTATGTTATTTTCCCCAACCTTAGATTCTAGCTGAGAGGGCATCATTGTTTGACTATGAGTTAATTGTCGGGGACAACGGGAAACGGTTACTTGCATTTGGAAAATTTGCTGGTAGAGTTGGAATGGTTGACTTCTTGCGTGGGTTAGGACAGCGTAAGTTTCTAATGGTACCAGTTTTAATGTATCGGGTCCATGTTGAATGGCATTGTCTAGAGTGTGATCTGCAAACTATACATCTTATCTGTTTTACTGTTCCAGGGTTTCTAAGTCTTGGATACTCAACACCTTTCTTGTCACTTGGATCATCTTACATGTACCCTTCCCTGGCTGCTGCTAAGGCTGCTGTGATTTCTGTTGGTGAAGAAATTGCGACCCAGGGATTGCCATTGGGGATTTGTCCCTTGGTTTTTGTATTTACTGGTACAGGAAATGGTATGTGTTAGAAAATGATACTTTATTTTTATGTCCTATCCTTTGTGATATTCCATTTACTTTAGCGTAGTGAATGTTGAAAAATAATGCTTATGCTAACTTTGAATTCTTCCTTTCTTGTAGTTTGTTCTGGTGCACAAGAGATATTTAAGCTTCTTCCTCATACCTTCGTAGATCCATCTAGACTAAGCGACCTACATAGAATGGTACTTTTTTTATTCAGTTATTGTTGCATTAGGATGTTAAGAGCGTTTCTAGGTTCAGCTTGTGTTATTTATGATAACTTTGACAGTTTTCAATGTAATACAAAATTTTATGAAGGTTCATCAAAATTTTAGACCTCAGTGTAATAAATAAATTTCCCCAACCTTTCCTTTCCCTGCTAAGTTGAGACAAAGGAGTGACAAGGTAACACAATCAGGATGCATAATGTGGCACCTGAGGAAAACTTCTTTTCAAAACAGTTAGGGTAGTTTGAAGAGATAAACAATGCAAAACTTTGCCACAAATTCATCACAGTAATAATCATATAAAAATAAAACAAGTGTATAGGAAACATCTATTATAGCTATAATGAAGTGAAATTATTACAAATTCAAGTTTAAAATTGATTAAAAAAATATATTAATAGAATCTTGAAATGTTATCAACTATGTTATTGTTGCTTTTGCCTAGCAAATGTCTTGTACTTTGCCCTAATAGTTTGCTTAACAGGACACAAATCAAACGAGGCACGCTTCAAAAAGAGCTTTCCAAGTTTATGGTTGTGTCGTGACTGCGCAAGACATGGTTGAACCCAAAGATCCCACGAAAGTGTTTGATAAAGTTGGTTGATCTTGATCTTGAGTATTTGAATCTCCTCGTATCTATTTTTCTGCTAAAAATAGCTCTTTACTAAGTTGCAGAATAACTGGCATGTTATTTTGGATCTGAAACCTGTTATGATATTTTAGAGTTACATCATTTTCTGATTCACGTGGTTCATATGAGGGCTATTCAACATTAAAAAAATATGAAGGATTATTTTAGCATGGTTTTCCAGATATTAAGAACTAATTTGTGACGAATTCTTAAAATCTATGATAACATTCTTTAAATGATCTTAAAAACAACAAATTCCCTTTATATAGCATATTAGCATGTGTGTTTTGGAAGCTATTGTGGAATGGAAGGATTGTAAAAATTCAAGATTATCATGTAATTCAAGTGGAAATTTTATTTTAGAAATTCCTCACAATGCTATAAACAAGAAGGACATTAAGTCTCAGTGTTTTCATTTCACAGGAGCACAGTTGAGGTGTTAATCAATTGTGCCAACATCACCCTTTCCATCCTTATGGATTGCTCATCACATTCTGACAAGATAAAAAAAAATTGAACATGATTTCCTGAAACTCCGGGAAGCACACTTAACTATTCTCATTTATACTATGCATTGATTTTCCTATTGAGTGTTCTCTATTTTGTTGGATATGTAATTAACCTTTCTTCTTCAAGCTCATCATACACATGATTTAGTTAAATCCGGTTTCTCGTTTATATATATTAATAAGGGAAATTAAGACCCATGTATTCATTTAATACCAAGTGGTCTAAAGTGTGCATTGACACATCTCTCAATTATTTTGATGTAATGATTTTTTTTTTGTTTTACTTTTTTTTCGTCTTCCCAGTTTATTTTCATCAGTTGATTCTATTACATTGAACTCTTCCATAAACTAGTACACTAACATGACATGGTAATTTCAGGCAGACTACTATGCACATCCTGAGCATTACAATCCCACTTTCCACGAAAAAATAGCACCATATGCATCTGTTATTGGTAGGTCCCTTCATACTTGTTACTGAGCTCTGATATTGGAGCAAATTATATGCTAATATTTATAAGATGCAGTATTACGGGTAGTAATTTTGTTTTTTCTTGAACTTGCTTTTGTCATGAATTACAAAATGATTTGAAGTCCTTTAAGATTTCTAATTCCTGACATTTGAAATTTTCTCTCTCATCTATCAGAAAGAAATGTTAAACAAAACCACCTCTCAAAATGCTTTGTCATTGTTAAAGATGTATGTAATTCAGATTAAATGGATATTCAATAAATCTTGACTTAGCTCACCAATCACCACATATTAACAACTCTGCTTTTTGGATACCTCTGCTAAAAAATGTTTCTAGATAAAATTAATTTCTTTCTAAGTATTTTGTGTTCTTCCATTAAGATATATCTAATTCACATGCTACTTGATAAAGGAGAATTTTAATAGTTGTAAAGTTTCACCACATATTAGTAAATCTATTACCATTACATTATGTGTGAAATGTTTCTTGATAAACTGAATTTTCTTACTATGCACCATTACTCACGTTTACTTATCTTAGTCAATTGCATGTATTGGGAGAAAAGGTTTCCTCAATTGTTGACCTATAAGCAGACGCAAGACTTGATGATCCAGGGGTGCCCCCTTGTTGGAATAGCAGACATAACGTGTGATATAGGGGGTTCAATAGAATTTGTTAACCACGCAACATCAATTGATTCACCTTTTTTCAGGTATAACATGTCTCTAGTTTGGGAGAATTAATTAAATTTTACTCTCATCTACACAATTCTACCATGGAATTTATCTTAGAAAGAGATTAAAGTTCCTGAATATTGGATTGTTTCAAGCACCTGTGTTGGAAACATATGTTAAGAAATATATGGCCCAAGTTGATATTATGAATTACAGAATCTACATCTCATGGTCTTATTTTCTGCTTAAAATAAGCTAGAATAGAAAATAGACATAAATATAGGATTCTTTCTCAAAATGCCTTTTTCTGCTTCTGGTAATGCTTTGTTTGGAAGTTCAGATAATGTGCATGCTGCTGCTTATCTACCTATGTTGAACATAATAAAAGCTTGGATTTTATTCATCACGAGGCCTTATTTCATCATGCAAATCACAATATATCACTACTTATGTCACATAAAAAGCGTAGAATCTCTGTCTTTCTAGCTCCATACACCTCTTAGAAGTTGACCTAGGATGCGTTTGGAGGTCCATATAAAAGAAAAAGGAGACGTTCTATGAAGGATGAAATACCATATAATACTTGGTTATATGATTTAGAAGCTATAAGAATTGTAGGTGATGCTATGCTGATGCCTTAGCTTACATTACAAACATGACATTCAGTTCAATTGCAAATGTTACATTACAATCTTGTCCAAGTATGATGTAATATTTAAACATTTTTGTTAGATATGATCCAATTACAAATTCCTATCATGATGATATGGACGGGAATGGCGTGATATGTTTGGCAGTTGATATTCTTCCAACAGAATTTGCAAAGGAGGTAGGTGCCTTCTTATTTGTTGATTACTATACTTTCATTTGATAAGAGATTGGTATTAGATTGGAGAATGATGAAATATGCAATCTCATATGGGTAGGCTTCTCAACATTTTGGAAACATACTTTCCCAATTTGTCGTAAATTTGGCTTCTGCTACAGACATTACAAAGTTGCCTGCTCACTTAAGGAGAGCTTGCATAGCCCATAGAGGAGTTCTAACCTCCTTGTACGATTATATTCCACGCATGCGGTCTTCCGATTCAGAGTATGTGTTTCATCTATATTTTAAGTTTTTTCTTCATTCACTTTGTTGAATTCCCTTTTATAGTTTCTTGTTATTTTCCCACTTATAACAGGGATATACTTTCTTTTTGGCTTACAGGGAAGCTTCAGAAAACTCAGAAAATTCTCTATCTAACAAAAGAAAGTACAATATATCGGTGCGTTCTTCAGTAGTTTCAAATATTATTATTCATTAATCAAACCCTACATACTATATTAACTTGAGTAGGAGATATTTATGATAATTGTTCAGGGAAATTACAATTATAATAAAAATGTAAGATCATGTATGTATACTGTATGTTATGATTAACAACAAATCATCATGATTCAAAAATATAAAATGATAAATTTTATTTGATTGGGAAAGAGAATAACTAAAATTCAAATAAAAATTAAAAGCAAAGAACAAGAACATAGAAATTATGAAGATTGAGAAAAATAAAACCAAGAATTGTTAAGACTAAATTTCTTTGAGGGTGAATTGCTTGATTTTTTGTTTAGGTTTGATGTTGCCCAATTGAATTGACTCCACTTTCGTGGTATTTATGTTCAATTAAAGTCTTAAGTTTCATGACAATTCCCAAGTGCTCCCCAAACCCAAAACTACTTTGTGATTTAGATCTTATGTTTAGATTCCTATAGTTTCGATAGTTATGTTCACCTATCAATTCTTTACTAATTATCCAAAAGGTGCAAATATATGGTGAGCAAATTCACACACTAATAAACTAGATAAAAATCAAACCAAATTAAATTCAAACTAAACAGAAGAAGAAAACAATCAATTTAAAATCATTATTTATCAAAGGAATTGTCTAATTCAAGAAGCTAGAGAGAGAACTTAGCCGCAATAAAAGAGAAAATCTAAAGATGAAGCAATTACATTCGAACCAGGAAGGAATGGAAGATGATTCGTCTTCAATCTTGATCATTATGTCATCATTCTCTCCCTAGGGTTTCCCCAAACCTAAGGACCTAAAATGCATCAAGCCCAACTAATAAAATAATGAAAATTGAAGGTTTTGCCAGGCAGAGGACATGTGCAAAATTTTACACGCCCTTGCAACTCTTACGACATCAAGAAAAATCTTAACTGAGATGTGTACACCTATGCACCTTCTATCAGCACTCAAGACAACTTCAATTTCAATCTAAAATGTTTTTGCACTTGTAAAAATACCAATGCATAACTAGTCCAACAAAAAGGTGAAAAACAAATAGAAACATGCAAAAATAAAACCTAAGCACCTAAGCTTGCAACTAACTCAAACTAAAATGACACCTAAAAATAGACTATAACACATCAATAATCCTTCTAGTTGTTAATTAATCTTCTGATTGTGATTGCTGAATATAACTGACAGGTATCTCTGAGTGGTCACTTATTTGATCAGTTTCTGATAAACGAGGCTTTAGATATTATTGAAGCTGCAGGAGGCACCTTCCACTTAGTCAACTGCCATGTGGGTCAGAGTGCAAAAGCTGTATCATTCTCTGAACTTGAAGTAAGTAGTCATCTATTTCAAACTGAAATATTTACTATGTCCCTTAGAAAATGCTCTTTCTCTTCATATGATGTATAATAGTATAGCACCAGATAATTCAATATTTTTTTTCCAAGACGTAAAATATGGTCACAAACACTTTATTTATGGTCTTTTCACCAATGTTATGCTCTTCCATATACATCAAAGATGGTACGTCTTTCACTGTTATTGAGTCAAGGTAATAAAGATTTCCCAACCCTACATGAAGCATATTTGATCTTAAGTAATTCTCTATAAGAAAGGCTAGTTTTCTGACTCTGTGTTTTGCATTTGGAGAACATTGTGACTTGTGTTCTGTTACAAGTTTCAACCCCATTCGTTTCTTCTTTTAATCTTTCTTGGTCTGAGGGGTGTCAATTCATGTTAATATCTGCTCTAACCATATGTCTTTGTGTGATATATTTTCTATCAATTTTTTTATTGAAAGTACATTTTAAGCTATGACTTTTTCACCAGCGTAATGAATTTATAGCAATCAATTAAGGTATTAACATTCTGGGTTTTGATCAGGTTGGAGCAGATGATAGGTCTGTTCTTGATCAAATCATTGATTCTTTAACTGCTATAGCTAAACCAACTGAAAATGATAGATTTTCAAATCAAGATTCAAGTAAAATTTCACTTAAGCTTGGTAAAGTAGAAGAAAATGGCATAGAGATGGAATCAGATTCCAAAAAGAAGGCTGCAGTTTTAATTCTTGGTGCTGGTCGGGTCTGTCAACCAGCTGCTGAAATGTTATCATCATTTGGAAGGCCATCATCAAGTGAATGGTATAAAACATTGTTCGAAGATGACTTTGAATGTCAAACTGATCTAGAAGTCACTGTGGGATCTCTGTACCTGAAGGATGCAGAGCAGGTATTTTGACTGATAATTTCTTGATTTCTTCTATGGAAGAAGAGATGGTTTTTAAATAGGATCCTAGATTTGACATTAGAATATCAATGCAGATAGTTGAGGGCATTCCAAATGTAAATGGAATCCAGCTTGATGTGATGGATCAGGAGAGTATGTGTAAGTACATATCACAGGTACGTTTGTCTACTTGGCAGCAACTTTTGCATATATCTTAATTGATTCGTTGGAAAGCAACTCAAAATGACTTCATTTAACCCCTGATAGGGGATTTGGCTGGCAAAAGCATTTTGAGTATTATTAACCTATAAATGTACTCATAATTTTGAATTTTCCATCTTCAAACATCATGCAACATATGATCTATGATTTGTATTCCTTGGATTTTGATAGCATTAGCTGGCTTATCTTTGACATTTTTTTTTCTGCAGGTTGATGTTGTTATAAGTTTGCTGCCCCCTAGTTGTCACATTATCGTAGCAAATGCTTGCATCAAGGTGCTTCACAATATTTTATGTTGTTGTTCAATAATGTATTGAAGGGTTATATTTAGAAAAAATAAAATAAAATGACAGGATTATAGAGTAAGCATATCTAGAATAGATTATAGGTAAAGACTGCAATAATTGTAAAATTAATAAAGTAATGAATTGAACTAATAATTTGTGATAGGGATTGAAGTCAATTCTTAAATATAGACATAAATCAAGTTAAATATTGCTCAACTGTGGGTAAAAGAAAGAGGTCATCCAAGTAATCTAGGAAATTGTTGTTCCCTTGTAAACCCAGGCTTTCTTTGATTCCAGATTCTCATAAATAACATCTGTATAGTTTCTTTTTTGGTAAGGTTAATATTGGTTTATAACTATTGTTTCTTTGTTCTAGCTTTAGTAAAGAATGTGTTCCTTAATGCAGTTGAAGAAACATCTTGTCACTGCTAGCTATGTTGATAGCTCTATGTCAATGCTAGATGATAAGGCTAAAGATGCTGGTATAACAATTCTTGGAGAGATGGGCTTGGACCCAGGGATTGGTAAGAGCTATTCTGATAATTATTGCTTGGTTTCGGACTTTTGCAACATAAAATATTTCATTATAAAGTGCATCTGGATTGTTGTACTTGTTATAAAATCAGTTTTTGAGTTGTTGGTCTCCCTTCTCGGAGATGTTTTCTTTAGATTTATGTTCTCAGTTTTTTCACCTGTTTAACTATTGCAAATGTTCATTTCCTTAATGGATGGATGACTAATCTACGGTATGTTTCTTCTGAGAAAGTTGAATTAAATTATTGGAATTTTTTTTTTAGTTTAATGAACATCCACTATAAGTGTAACTGTTCAATTAAAATCAATATCAACATGACTCTCAAATCAGTATGAAAATCAACAAGTTTCTTATATGACAGCTTGGGATTAGTGGAATTCCTTCAAAAATACTACTTTAATTTTTTTATACCAACACATTGGCTGAAACCAGCTTCTGAAAATTATAGAAGCTTCACATATTTCCAACTAAAATGGTTCTTGCAATAAAATTGTATTTGTTTAATGATCCAGATCATATGATGGCAATGAAAATGATCAACCAAGCACATTTACGGAATGGAAAAGTAAAGTCTTTCATTTCTTATTGCGGTGGACTTCCATCTCCTGAAGCTGCTAACAATCCATTGGCATATAAATTCAGGTACTTCATGGAATGTCTTTACCAAAACTCAAGAGTAAGCACGCTGAGTTATGTGTATATTTGTTACTGGAAAAAATTTTTAGCCCAAAATTTAGTACAAAACAGGAAGCAGAGAGTTCCCCCCTAACAGGAGTCTTATCTATTTTTAATTCAGCATTATTAAATCTACCCCGTGATTGATCATCTGTAATTGCCATAATAAATGCGCAGAAATAATATACAATCAATAATTCAGATCCAACCTAAAGACAGAAATACTGCACAAATAGTTACACACTAAAAATTCAGGCCTGTTGAATCTCAATCTGGTATCCCCTCTCACATAAGCTTTCCAAGACCTATCAGTCTCGTACATATGTGAGCGGTTCCCTAATGGTTCCAAAATGAAAACTCTACATTTTGGTAAACTAAAAGCTGACTAGATATACAATTACTTACTCATGATTATATAGGAACCTATCACTTTTATGCTAATTTGTACCAATCCTGTTATCGTGTATTGCTTCTTCTGCATATTTACACTTTTAAAATATAACTCAAATATCTTCAAATTTTGATTGGTAATAATATCTTGTGCAGTCACTGTTGTACATGCAAAATGTACAATGGGTATTGGTCTTCATTCAGAGAAAACTTGTAATAGAGTTTACTCAGGTTTCTATTTTGTTACCGTAAAAATCCTCCCAAGAGATCACGTAACAAAATATTTTGAATTTGTAACACTTTTTTTGGATAAATGTCTGTATACGTTTTTTAGGATAGATGTCCATATGGGCATGCTATTAAGGTTCCAAAGCTCTGTTTTGTAGTATTTTTCATCTTGCTAATCATTCAACTGTGGTAGGTCACAGTCATTTTCATTATATATTAAATTTTTTTATGATTGTTGCTGTAAGAACTCATTGGTTATCCATTATTTCAGTTGGAGTCCGGCAGGGGCCATCCGATCTGGGCGTAATCCTGCCACCTACAAATGGGGTGGTGAAACTGTACATATTGATGGTAAGCTTTTTATCATTTGGGAATATAATTTCAAGAAAGCAAAAATCAGAAAATGTTATCCATTCCTACTTTGGGGGTCCTAACATACCTCCATAATATGCATGCATCCACTTTCAAGGTCTAATAACATTCATGTAATTTTCCATATTTTCCTCTAGAGAATTCTTGCATAATTTTGAAAAAGGTAACTTAATTTTTTCCCTGTTTGAAAAAGTCTCATCCCCCCCCCGCCCCTCCCTGTCCACAATATTGCTTGTCTGCATTGTCATGAGCTCACTGCCTCACTCTTGGTTTTTGAACAGGGAACGATCTTTATGATTCAGCTACAAGACTAAGGCTCCCAGAACTTCCTGCTTTTGCCTTGGAATGTCTCCCAAATCGTAATTCATTACTTTATGGGGATTTATATGGAATAGCATCTGAAGCATCAACCTTTTTCCGTGGAACCCTCCGCTATGAAGGCACGCTGTACAAATGTTTCTATTACTTTTCAGGCTAATATTTTGCATTGATTAATACTGTTCTGTATAACATTTTTAAACTATATTAATCAATATTTGGTGAAGTGGTACCATTCTTTGAATCATGTTAAAACTATTCAATATTATATATATGGTGTGTTTGAGCATAAATGGTTTATTAAATCTTTCTGAAACTTACTGTGGTAACTTGGTGTACAGGATTTAGTGAGATCATGGGGACACTGTCTAGGATTGGACTATTTAACAATGAAGCTCATTCGTTGCTAACTGATGAACAGAGACCAACTTTCAGAAAATTCTTATTTGAACTTCTCAAAGTTGCTAGTGAAGATCAAGATGCTTCATTAATAGGAGAGAATGACATCACGGAACGAATATTAACACAAGGGCACTGCAAAGAAGAGAGAACTGCAAGGAAGACAGCAAAAACAATCATGTAGATCATTTATTCTTCTCTTGTACTTTCATTCGGAAAAGTATTGTCTTAACCTCACTGTCTTTTTTTCATATAGATTCTTGGGACTTCTTGAGCAAACAGAAATCCCTGCTTCCTGCAAAAGTTCTTTTGATGTTGTTCGTTTTCGCATGGAAGAGAGGTTATCATACAGTAGCACCGAAAAGGTATGTTTCTATTAAAAAGAAATGTTAGATTTCATTCATTATTAATAAATTTTGATCAATAATAAAACTTATTAAATTTATTGCTAGCATTCAACTCCTATTAGTTATACACGAAAAGCATAGTGCTTCCAGCATGTACGTCTCCATCTGACATTTTACTAACTAAACGTTGGAAGAACAAAAACATGAATCTGCTTAATTTAATGTTTTTCAAAACCAGCAAAATGAAAATGTTTTTCTATCTGCATATCACTTTATATACTGCTAAAGCAACTTATTTACAAGAATGTCTAGAGATTACTTAATAAAAACATACAGTTTATATCAGTGCCTAACTATTAGTTGCTTTGTAAGCAGGATATGGTGCTTTTGCACCATGAAGTGGAAATAGAATACCCAGATACCCAAAATACAGAGAAGCATAGAGCTACTTTACTTGAATTTGGGAGGACTGTCAATGGAAACACCACAACTGCCATGGCCCTTACTGTTGGTATTCCAGCTGCTGTTGGAGCTCTGGTACTTTCCATCCCTTTCTGTTCTTTTATGATGTATTCCAAGCAAACGCTGTTAGTGAGTTATACCTGTTTTTGCAGCTCTTATTGACAAACAAGATTCAGACAAGAGGAGTTTTGAGGCCTATCGAACCTGAAGTATACACTCCAGGTGAACCATGATGTATTGGTTTTCAGCTGCCGATGTTGACTATTAATTTTGAGAAACTAAATAATATATTATTAATAAATAATAAATAAATATAAAAAGGTAAAAAAGATAAAAGGATAAGAAGATAAAATTATAAATATATAAATAAATATATTAAAAGGATAAGAAGATAAAATTATAAATATATAAATAAATATATTAAATGATATTTAAGTTTAAGGGAACAAAATCATAAATTATATGATAATTAGGAGTGATGAGAGATAAAATTGTAAATATACGAATAAATATATTAAATCATCATTAAGTTCGGGATCAAAATCATAAATTACAAATTACATAAGAATTACAAAACTTTCGGGCTACGGCCCCTCGGCTTCCAAGAATATTCTTTATTATTGGTTTTGTTGTCCATTTGTTGAATCTAGTTTTTCTAGCATGCATAGAGTTAGAAGAGAAAATTTGACCATAATGAATAATTAGCATACTTAACAGCCACATGGTCAAATAATTGCATTATGTGAAAGTATGGAACTAATATGAAGAAATTGTATATTGTGGTCTATGCAGCACTGGATATTATAGAAGCTTATGGCATCAAGTTGATAGAAAAGACTGAGTAATTTTTTTCTCTGAAGCGGGAGTTGATGTAAAGGTGTACATTGGTGTATGTATACCATGCAATATTTGAAGCGAATAAGACATGCCAGTGTCAGAAATGGACCACACTGCACCATTGCAGTTAAAACACTCACAGAAGCTGATGCCAATTCCAATTGCAGTAATTCAATTCTACCAATCACGAAGTATGATTCTAGAAGGAATATTAGTTGGTGTCAATCCAACTATATTATTAATATATTAATTTAATTATGTTTTTTAATTTCTGGAATTTGATATAAATTCAGTTTAGTCCCCTAAAAACAAATATATTTTGTCATTTAAATTTCAATAAAATACATTTTTAATCTCTTGCTATATATTTTTGTCTTTCAAATTTGGATTATTTTGTGCCCGATTTAAAAATAATATTTTAGTCTCAAATTCAATTTTTTTTTTAGTATCTCAAATTTAAACATAATTTTTTTGTAGTTACTCATTTAAAATTGTCTTTAGGCCCCAAATTTAGAACAAAGTTTGAAAGTAGTTTATTCTAGAAGTTACAATTTACGTTTAAAGGAAGATATTTAATAATGTTAAACATATAATATCAAATTTCATGTGACAATTGTTAACAATATTCACAATACTTCTGATAACGTTGCTAACACTTAAAACTAAAGAGTTTTTTGTTTTTTTTTTCAATATTTGAGAAACTTAAATATTTTACAAAAAATAAAAAACCAAACTCACTTCAGAAACTAAAAAAGTAATTGCGCTTTATATATGTTTCAAAATTATTGTGAGGTACACAAATTTTTATGTTTTTGACTAAGATTGAACAATCCTGCCAATAAAAACAATAAGTAAAGGGTTTTCTTTTATTTTTAAGTTAAAAGATGAAAATGTCAAAACTTTCTCAAAAATATAGAATCAGGAAAAGAAAAGGTTAATAAGACAATAATATTTACAAATTTGCAAAAGATATAAACATTTTGACATCTTTTCTTCATAAATTGTAAAGGAAGAAGACTTTTGAGAAGAGGTATGATTTTTTTTTTTTTCAGATAATTTCTCCCATCTTATGACAATAATTCTACATCCTTAATTAATTAATAAAGTTATTCCCTGAAAAGTACAATTTTGCACTTTTTATTTCATATATATAATCATCTTGTACATACAAATATGATTTAAAATTCATCCCTTGTACGTAGAGGATGTAAACAAAATTTTGCCTATTTATAGGCATGAAAACATGAACAAAATTCAAATTTTGCCTAATTATAGGCATGGAAAAATTGCCATAATTTCCACCAAAATGAAAATGTTGCTCAAAATGGGCTCCATGCAGTCAGCCACTTCAGGTGAATTCACGTCTTCAAGAATATATATATATATATATATATATATATATATATAAAGATATTTCAAACAATAGTGCAGAACCTGTAGAAAGGGTGATATTCCACAAATTCTTGTACAGAACTACGAAGCTATCAATGACATTAACTGTTGTTCCACTTCTTCCCAGTTCTTAACTTTGGTCACCAGAGGGTGCTCATCAACGGACTCGGTCTTGCACCAAGGATATGAGTTTTCATAATCAAAAAGTAGGACTTTAATTCCAACATTAGCACACTCTATAGCATATCGCGGATTATCATCAATAAGAACCTTGGCATTTAAGGACCTGACAATGGCAGTCCACCAGGAATCTATTACTAAACAACATATTTTCTGCTTTGTAAGTGAGGAAAAGAGAGTTGGAATTCTCTTCCGTTTTGTAGTTCTATAGTTTGGACATGAACTACAATTAATGCTGAGAAAGAAAGTAGAAAAGAATGGGATCTATATCTGAAACATGCACAACATTAAAGAGAATTAAGGGACTTACCTACAAATTTCTGACTTTGGTCTTGACACACCATCAAGAGCAAAGTGGTTACCAAAGTGAATCTCATGAAACAGTCCTGGAAAATTCTTCTCTATCCACTCGATTGTGTGATCCTTAATTGCATTCTGTCGTGAACTGATCATATATACCTCCAGTTAGTCAATGCTGACAAGATTCCATTACAGGTTGAAAAAAAATTCAATATAAAACCATACGTTACAACTGATAGGCTACAAAATCTTGATAACTTCTGAAGAGCCAACTGAGCACCTGGAAGAGGGTGGATCCCTGACTTGAAATATGGTGTCTTAAAAAATTCATGAACACGTATATCAGCTGCAGAACAAGAAATTGATTTTCAATCACTCCATAAAGTCATCGTGAGATTTAAAAAATGACTTACAAGAAATCCCCATTAGATTTCTGTATAAAATTGAATAGCCAATATTAAATTTCTCTATAATATGGTTGGTTGGTTGGTTGCCCTTAGAATTGTACTTTCTAGAGATAGACAGCAAAAGCATTTGGCTAGCCACACCATTGAAACCAGTTTAAGTTGTACAATGACTATACATTACAATTTACAAATTAGGCTTGCCCCTCAATCTAAGCTAATCAAGAATACGATACAATCAAAATTTGACGCATTTGGCAATTTGATTTACAGGGAAAATTTCCGTCTAAAATGAGAAGGAAATAATTTACTAATCCAAGAGTTTGGTGAAAATCAAAATGAGAAGGAAATAATTTACGTCTAAAACTGTCAAAAAAAATGGAATGACGAAACCATTCACAAAATGAAATATGACAATATGACAAATACACGGTTACTTACCTTCATCACGTGAACAATTCCATATCTGCAACAGAAATGAAGGGTGCATCAGACTCCACACACAAACACAAATTCCCAGCAATACAATGGGCTAAATGGTGCTCCATTCATGATGAAAAGATAAGTCCCCTACCCATAACACATTGGCAAATGAAATAGAAACTAAGACAAATTGCAAATTTTAAAACCCCAAGCTAACAGAACTGCTATTTTGATGTATATGATCATCACTGGGATATTACTATTAACATTACATTCCAAAGAATTAATGTCAAACAAAATTAATTCAACATAAATAGGCCAAATCCTAAAAAATTGGCAATCACTCCTAATGCTACATTATCATATAGGAGATAGGAGAATGGGGGCAAAAAGGAGCCTCTGAAAGAACATTCAAGTTTCCGATCATTTAATAGTAATATTTATTATAATAGGTAAATTTCAATTACTCATCATCAAAACATATAATTACTGAGGCTGCTAAATAATACCTTACAAAACTCGTACACATGATATTCAGAAACTGAATAATTTGATGAATATCGATCTGCGATGAACTTATTGAGAGCTGACACGAAGTTTCCTAATACTGTGATGTGGGGGAAAAACATCAAAACAGGTAAAATATCAGGACAAAAGTGGACAATCCAAGAATTAAAAAACATTGGTCAGTCGACAATTCTAGTTAAAAGTGAATATCTATAATTTTAGGCAAGCCATCACACTGCAAACTGTTGTATATTATTATTTGCTTCTATCATAATTGGAGATGACAATTAATTCTATAAAATAAAGACACGAGTTTAATCACAAAGCACAAGCACTGACAGTGTCAAACAACCCAACAAAGTAAAATAGAAGTCAAAATTAAGTATGTTCTGAGACCGACAAGAACATTTCAGCCATCATCACACAGCCAAAAAAGGGGTCAATGAATCAATGACAACAGAATCTTCTTTCCTCACGTTCTATTATAAAAATCTCTGGTCAATGGCTATTCTAACAATTTCCAACAACTTCATGAGTTCCTATTGAACAAATGGATGCTGAAAAGAATCATCCAACCCACATAGGGACCAAGTTAGATTCAAGCAAATACATACGTAATATGCATGAGGCTTTCAGCAATTCAAGATAAAATCTGACCATTTCATTCACCTGAAGACTTTGACTTCATTTCTTCTTTAATTATATCTTTAAGTTTGAAACGCTAAAAAAAAAAAAACAGGGGAAAAGATATCGGGTAAACAATACTCCATGCATACTTAAAGGGTTGGAACATAGTCAAGATTCTGCACGAGGTCTACGTAATTCATATGCATAAGTTAAATGACAAAGCATATAAAACACTGAAGAAACACCATAATATAATAAAAAGAGTGTTACATAAATGCGTACTTATATACATACCCTCATCAACATCAACAGCAACTACAAGTTTCGGGGATAATCGGCGATCATTGAAACAAGGAGGTTTAGCAGGACTTCCATTTATAGATCCATTGTCAATCTTAACCAAAGTTGCATCACATTCATCACTCTTAACAGAATTCCTTTGCTCCAAATCAGCCAACATCGGCTGGCGACGATTCGAGGCAAAGCCACGAGACATGGTCTTAGCTTTCACAAAGATCCTATCAGTATTAGGATTACAACTACCACTAGTGTCATAGCTACAACCTCTAGGACCAAAACCAATGCTTCTTCTAACCCCAAAAACATTAGCATAAACAAGTTTATGGAGAAGTGGGAAAGACAGGTAGCAACCACGATCAGAAGAAGAAAGAGAAGGGTACTGAGAAAAGGCCTTGGTCAAGTGGGAGTAAGGATCAAAACCTACTAAATAAGCCATAAGATTGTTGTGGTGAGGGTAATGCCGGGTTTGCTGATAGAATAACCGCACCAGGCATTCACAATTCTTTAATCTAAACATAATAACGCCAGAATCTTGCTCTGATATTCTCGCATCACCATTAAAAGAAAAAAAATTAAACGGATAACTCACAGCAAACAAGAAAATATTCCGTGGGACAAAGAATCAATCCCAGAACTTATTGAATTGAACACTGCGATCACCAAGGACCAATCTTTTCGCGCTCAAGTTCGTTCAGAGTCAAAAGGGTATCCACCAAGCACAACCGACATAAACCCTAGAAATGGGTTTGAAAACCGAGGCAACCAACTCCAATTACCCAGAAAATGGGAAGTTCGATAACCATATGATCCGTTAAAAGATCAAATCTTACAATGCACCGGATCCAATAAACAAACACCCAGATGAAAAAACTTCGATGGGACTGAATATGCACGAAAAAACAGGAAAAGAAGAACCTTTGTATGTGGTTGATTTGATTGCTTCTAATCTCTCTGTAGTGTTTAAAAGTTATTCAGATACAAACTTGTGATTTTGAACGTAACATGTACTCATTTGATATGCAGAAACAGAGACAAAATGCACTGAATCTGAAGATATAGGGGAGAATTTAAAGAGAAAGTTGAAAAGAAAGGAGGAAAGTTAATAGTTGGTGAATGCGGATATTAGGGCATCATTTTCGATTCTCCTTTCGTCTCCATTTTGTGCAACAAAATTTGGGTGCTATTGCCCATCATCATTCTTTATTTCCTACCAACTTTTGATTTTATTTAGATTTTATTTTCTGTAAAAGTTATGCTGTTCACTTTTTTATTTTATTTTATTTTTGTGGGACTCTTATTATTGTGTTGTGGTGCAAATTGTTTGTGCCATTCGAGGTTGTGGGGTTGAGGATGCAGACCCAAAACTCATGATTGTGTTGAATATGTGCATTTCATTTATCATATTCTCGATAACTTTTTATTTTAGTTTTTCATATACATTTTATTTTTATTTTAGTTTTTGATATATAATTTGTTTCTATTTTAATTTTTTTTAAAATATAATTTTCAATAAATTCATATGATTGTTGATTTTAATAAAAATAAATAAATGTTAACTAAAAAAATTTGTTGATATGATATTGATTAAATTTCTTTTATAAATAAAATATTTTTAAATATATATATATATATATATATATATATATATATATATATATATATATATATATATATATATATATATATATATATATATATGAGAATTAGTTTGTTACTGATACCTTGCATAACATATAATTCATCTTCAACTGAGAGAAAGTTAGAGCGAAGAAAAAATACGATGATTTTACGTATTTTGATATAAAAAGTTAAAAGTTCGTTTTTGCAATTATGTTAAGAAAATCAAAATAATATACATATTTTTATTATAATAATAAATTTATTAAAAAGTTATATTAAAAGTTATAATAAAATAATTAATAATAAATAATTTAATTTTCACATATTTATTTTAATCCAAATAACTAATTTCTATCATCTTTCTCACATTTTTTAACTCTCTCAAATCTTCAATCCAAACAAAACATTAAAGATAACACTAAATGATAAAATTAAAATATTAAAACAATATATATATATAAATTTACTAGAGACGAAAAAATATGATAAAAATAAAATTTTTATCAAAAAATAAAATAAAATTTTATTATTAAAGATTATTTATAAATATAATCTACAATTTTTAGGGGTAAAAAACTGTTTCTCTCACTTTAAATGAGGGAAATAAGTTACCCTTTTTAATATATTTTCTATTAACAAATCGATATTTATGGTGAATTTATTAAATTTATAATTTATTGTTCTTATTATTGAAAGAATTGAATTAAAAATAATAATGGTTATTTTTGTAAAAATTAATTTATAATTTCTTTTTATTAATTATCCCAAAATAAACTATTTCTAATAAAAAGAGGAAGCTTGTAATGATAAACAATTGAAAAGATAAAGAAGTATTAATAAAAATAGTTAAAAAAAATATAATTTAAGATAAAATTATTATTATTTTTTAATTTTAATAGTTTAAGCAATTGAATAGTTTTTAAACTTAAGATAGTAAATTCTAATTAAGAATTGGAGTTATGAATCAAAATACACCTAAAAAAAATACTTGAGTTATAATAACAATAATTCTACATTCCAACTTTATTAAAAAAATCAGAATAATAGTGTAAAGATACACTATTACTAATAAAATCAGACACATAAATAAACAAATTATATATAAATTTATAAAATTATAAATTGGTAAAGTGAAATTGTTTTGTAAAGGAGGTTGTTTTTAACATTTGAATCATAACAAAACATAGTTATAGTGAGATTAATGAAAAAAAAAATTACAAGTTAATTTCAAGTTGTTAGTGAGAAATCGATAAAGGGATCGAGAAACAAATGGGAGCAAAAAATCGAAAACCATTTTGATTGAGTTAAAGACTGATAAATCGAAAGATAGTTGGAAAATACGTTCGACGACCATGTGACAATATGATCGAGAATTAGAATCGAGAAATTGAAGGAAGAATGTTTTCGAGAAATTAAAATTTTGTAATGTTAAGGTGAAGGAAAACCAAGAGCAATTCAAAGTTCTCGAGATCAAGAGATCAAAATCAAGAGGAAGGCTAACCTGCGTGGATATCGAAATCCCGGCTAGGTCATAAAGAGGGGAACAGTTAAACGCGCACATAGGAAACAATTTCTAAACCGTGGCAGAGGTCGAAGATCATGGGAACGTGGGTGCAATTTTGATACGGAAGAAGAAACTGCAACATGCATGTAGGACGTGGTAGCAATTTTCGTTAACCGCTCCTAAGAGGTTACTTGCTTAAAGGATGCCCTATAAATAGAGTGAAGGATGAAGGAAGAGGGGGAGGTGGAAATTGACAGAGAGAGCAAGAATACTAGTAAGAAGTCTACCGGAGAATGACGAACATCATGAAGTTTCTGGCAATCTGGATTTCCATGTTCATTGATTTCCTTTACCGTTTTCTTTATTTTCCCTGGTAATTTACTTTGATGCAATTTATGTTTAGCAACTTTAAGTTTCTGTGTTTTCGATTCCTTGTCATTTCTCTTTAATGAAAGTTAAGTTTCTGCGTTTAAGTTCATTGTCATTTTTATTAATGCAATCTCGATCTCCCGCTATTTACATTTCTGTAATCTCGATTTCCTGTTATTTACATTTTTGTAATCTCGATTTCCTGTTATTTACATTTCTGTAATTTCGATTTCCTGTTATTTATATCTCCGCAATTTCGATGCTTTGTCGTTTACACTTAATGCAAATTTGAGGTTTCCGCATTTTTCATTCTTTCGCAGTTTTACATTCGGTACTGCTTTTCGATTTGTCACTTTACTGTTTTCCTTATTTCGAGTACTTCAAATACAAAATACCAAAAATAGTGCTTTCGATTATTAATCTTAGTATTTTCTATACAGTGGTATTTTCGATTCTCATACGCATTTCGATTGAAATTTAGTTGCTAGCCTAAGTATAAAGAATCTAAGTGGTTGAGTTTTGGCTAGAATCAAAGCCTCTTAAGAATCGAAATTAATCAAAATTCCACCAGAAACAAATTGGCGCGCCAGGTAGGGGAATTCGTGTCGAAAAAACACAAAATTGGTTAGTTCGAAAATGTATGAGATTAAGGAGTGGGCGAGTAATAAGAATGAGTTAGAATCCACCAAATAACCAGAGTAACAGTGAGGGTTTGAACAGTCTGAATGGTTCACATCCACCAAACACTGGGGGGCAAGGGCATAATGGGAATATGCCTGTAGTATCGACAACCGCGGGTATGTCGATACCTGTAAGTAATGAACAAAGTTCAGGTACACTAGTAAATACTCAAGTAGGGTCTAATACTGTGATACCAAACAATATGCAAACTATGGGGAACCCCATAACAACATATGCAGAGGTCGTATATGAGCGTAAGACCACCTGGTTTTTCGCTTAATAATATGAGTGGGGCTGGTACTTCTCCGAGTACAACGAAATTCAAGATTTAACTTAGGAATGCCTCAAAACTTAGGTACATTTCAAACTCTAGGTATGCCGCAAAATTTCGGAGTATCTCCAAATTTAGGGGCGTCTCAAAATTCAGTAACCCCCCAGAATTCAGGGAGTGTGCAGAATTCAGTTACACAACAGACACCTCCAAACATAGATCATAGAATAAATATGGATCATGAGAGATATACATTCGATAGAGATTATCATCGGTCAAACTTCGATACTATCGAAAATGCCAGTACTGGAATCTCCAGTAACTCATTAGGAGTACTTAGACAACAAATGGATGAAAGCAATTTTGAGATGGTTAATATGTTGTCACAACAGTTAACTACAGTCCTAAACCCATTAGTTCAAAACACTACTACTAGTTTTGAGATATTAGCAGACCAAATGGCCCGTATCGGGGATGCATTGGTCATACCTCGACAAACGAGAATGGAAAATCATGCCACTCACAGCATTAACCAGAATGCTAATATTAATCCTCCTTATTTGTTAAGAAGGAATCAACACAATGATCAACATCAGAATCTGGGGAACGAATATCAGCATGTGAGGAATGATATTTATGGAAATCTAAATGAGGGATTTCAGAACATGTATAATCAAAATAACATGCAGTTTAACCACATGTCAGGGCAAAGGATGAACCCTCAAGGGGTAGAATTAAGGTCACCCAATCAACCATACTTTGTTTCTCCTTTTCCAAATACGATTCTCGAGACATAATTACCTCGAGGATACAAAGTACCTAAATTCACCAAATTTGCAGGAGAAATTGGTGAGTCCACTATCGAGCATGTAGCTTGATATCAGATCGAATGTGGGGACCTAGCTATGAGTGAAGAATTAAAAATGAAATATTTCCCTAGTTCATTAACTAAGAATGCTTTCACTTGGTTTACTTCGTTGCCACCCAATTCGATATATCATTGGTTGCAATTGGAAAGAAATTTTCATGAGCAATTCTTCAGAGGGGAGACCCAAGTAAGTCTCATCGACTT